ACCTCAGGTGAAATCATGTCAACTATTTGACACAATATATCTTCAAAGAGCACAGGTTCCTGGGACATGCAACTCATTCGATGGCAGCTGCTCCTCATAGAAGTATTGCAGCTCGCTGGATGTTAAGACACCATTCCCATCCAAATCAATGCATTTGAACCTGCCCCATACAGCTAATAAAGTAAGACATGTGGCAAAGATACAAGGAGATGCTGCGAGTTCAAAATAGAAAATCATCATGAAAGTATGCTACTACATGAGTCCGCATTATTTAGTCCATTGTCAGACAGAAAAAAGCCACAGACAAACTGAAGCACTGTAGAACTGTCGTTTGATAATTGGCAAGACTAACTCCAAGTCTCCAACCCTAAAAGCTATTTTTAGCTTCCCAAACTCTCATGCATTTTTAACTTCTCGAAACACATTTTTACTCCAACTATACAAGAAACCAAATTTAGCTTCCCACAAGACACAACCACTCAACCGACCATAGATTTAGGAAGTACAAATTAAAAAAAAAAAAAAAAATTAAGGCTGGACCCACCGCTAGGGTCCACCTCTTCCTCCCACTCATATTTTGGCTACCAGCCAAATGGGAAGCCATATATGACTCTAGGTTTGCCATTACCCTTTTTTGGTAGCTAAAATGTGGTCGGTTGGAGTGAAAAACTAAAAAGGGATTTATAGCTTTTTAGCACCCTATCTTGGAGTTAGTCTAAGGGTCTACTGCTAGTAAGAGACTAAATGAAGTACCAGAGTAGTAGCAAGAGATTTCTATGTTTAGCCTTTCCAGCTTGAGAATTTCATGAATTCTTTTGATATGTTATGATGGCCTCAATGTGTTTGATGAACATATTATTAAAATTCAAATTTCTACAAAGCTGAGCATTTTCTGCTGATTAACTGTAGAACATGTCGGAGTAATCGTGTGCTGTAAGCCAAACCAAATGGACCTAATAAAGAGACGGAGTAATACTATACCAATATTCAAGACTAGGTTCAGATGATTTATTCTCCTCTGCCAATATGAAAGAAACAAAATCTTCATAGCTCATCTTTCCTTCCATATTGCTTGAAAACTTCTTCGGTACCTGAAATCAATTTAGGATATTGTTAATAGTCATCTGATGTGTAACGATTTCATCGAATGGTGAAAATTATCTGATTCAAATTTCGAATAATGAAGTTATAGATCAAGGCTGCCAACCTGTGAAAATATTCTATCAACAATCCTGTATGTAAGACAATGATTACCATATCTGATAAGATTCTCTCGGTCCAGCAAGTAATCATGGTCTGTATCCAGCTCCCAGAATTTGCAATATATCACGTAGAAATGCTCATAAGAGAAGTACCTGAATAAAGACAACAGATGCTAGGTAAAGAAAAGAGCTACCTGGTCATGAAGCAAGAGACGTTATCCAATAACTCTATGAATATATCATATTTATCACTGAAGGGAACACAATTGGCACCAGTGATTATATGCATGTCCGTTTTTATTTAGCTTGGCGCATGTTATATGTTAAAACAAATATAGTGACTTAAATGCAAATACAAGTATTCATAAACAGAAGCCAACCAGACTAAGTTAAAATTAAAAGGAATAGCTTCAAGTAGGTTTACAGTCAAATCCTAGCTCAAGCAACTAATCTAGAAATATCTGCTGGAACACAAACCTCAGAATTTTGTTAATTTCCTCTTCGTCATCAACTTGTTGCATGACAAAGATGAGATTGCTGCGTTTCAACTCCCTTAGGGTAAGACGGCCATTTCCTGATCTATTGATGTAGTAAAATATTCTGTATATGACAGTTTCGGCTGATACATCAGTAGAAAAATTTCTTAAGTCAAAATCATATGACTGCAACATGATTCATCATATAGAGAAAAATGACATATCCTCTGAGAAGTAGTTGCTTTCATTCATACCATATTTCTCTTGAAACTCAGGCGTTCCCTGTAAGAACTCCAACCCGGGGTGAGTGGCTAGCAGTTCTTCCAGAACAGGTTTGAAGTCAGACTGCACAATAAAAGTTCAGCAGTTCAGTCTCACACATGGTTTTGAATGAGAGAAAGAGCCATCATCAAAATGATTAGCAGTCAGCAAGCAAATGTAGAGACAGTTTTTCTGGATAAGTTATGCATCGGAGGACAGACCTTAGTTAGGTAGCGGTGGTTAGGCTGCTTTAAAATTTCAAAGACTTGTGTGGCCATATCCATAGTGAGCATATTGCTCTCCACCCAATATTTTAGAAATGCATCCCTGCAGAAAACCAAATGAAATAGGAACTTAGGTTCTAACTGAGACACACATTGGAGAGGCCGAGAAACTTATCACGTCTATAACCCAAAACTACTTAAACAAACATTTGTTGCCAAGGAAACGCAGCAGAAGAAGTTCAAGAAGGGGTTTTTCGTAACAGGAAATGCCATAGGATTAAACTTCTAAGAGTCATAAAACTGGATACCTTGTGACTATCCCATAGCATTCAGCATCTATCCTCCTGAAAAGCGCAGGCGAGAAGAAGGAGGGAAGCTTGCAAACTTCCCTTGTAACAAGTTTGAATTCTGTGTACCGGGGAAAAATAGCATTAGCTGTTGTACTTCTCTCTTGCCATCCAAAGGGAGACACAGCAAATTATATTGGAGATGCAAGCAATATCTCCAATAATTGATGGAAATGGACAGGTTATAGTTCTAACCATCTATATGCAGCCCATCGAGATTATTGTTGAAAAGTTGATTGATTCGAGAAATACACTGTTCCTTGAGTTCATTTGCTGGTGGACGACCATGTTGGAAATAGAACTGCAGTAATATAAATAAATAAATAACAGGCAATGCACATTTCAACCTCCAGTAGCAGAGGAGACAGACACATGCCGATCACAAATGTAGAAATTGAACTCATTGAAATCAGTAAACCTGAGGTATAACTTCTTGGGCTGGTTCGGTAGCCAACTTCCGGGGAGACGTTAGAGAGAAAGGGCTTACTTTCTGCTTTAAAGTGCGTGGAGAAACACAGGAACTCCTGGGGGAAAGTGGAGGTGGACTGGCATTAGTCAGTGGATTGCTTCCACCTCCAGCACCACCACTAGAAGAGATACTGTGAGGATTGATTGGAAGGCCAGCCTTCGCATCCCTAATTAAAGCTTTTACCTGCAATCAGGACATAGGCAAAAAAAGCAGCAGAGCTGAGCCCAACTCAGAAGAATCACTATTCACTACTCTAACTAGGAACTGTAACAATTTGATGAGCAGATAACAAGTTAACGCAGAAGACGAAAAAGATGTACCAATCGGCTAGTGTCAGGTAGAGAGAGCCATTGAGAGAACAATTCTTCAGCGATTTGAGTAGTCGGCTTGAGCTCAAATGAAGAAACCTCGGGAAGATGCAACAGTTCAGGCTCCAAATAGCTAACAACATCATTTCCTCCTGCTGTATCAATATCCATAACTAACTAATACGCGCTCGAAAAGATCAAACAGAGAACTAGCAAAACCTCCAAAACCCTAATTCTTCAATCCTTCAAGAAATCCTCCTCAATAATTCCCAGCAGCTTACAAACTCCAAAAGCTTCTCCACCACAACACAAACCTCAGTTGCCGTGTTCTTACCCCCACGGTCGTCCCTACTCCTCAGCCTCACCGTTGTCTTTCCGGCGCAGTGCTACTCAGTTCACACAATAGCAGCAGAGACGCACGACTCAATGACCGAGCAAAAAGTAAGAACTAAGAACAAATGATCGTCCGAAAGAACAAAATAAATACTCTCGAACAAAGCAAACCAGTAACCTCAGCGCTCACTTCTCGCTCCCGAACCCTAGAACTTCAAACGTGAGCGAACAGTTAGACGCGAAGAAGAACCGTGCGGTCTAGTTGAATAATTCGACGAAAACTTGAATTAGAAAAGAGATAAGAGGTGGAATTGGTAGCTCGAAAACGCGCAAAAGCAGAGAAGGTGGTGCAGATTTGCAGAAGGATGATGGGGATAGATGGTCCGCCGAAGAAGAACAGGAAGCAACTAGTCCGCCATGGTAGAGCAGGAGGGAGCTTTGAGGAGGAGACGAAAAGGAAGAGCCGCGCTCCTTTTTTTCCTTTTTTGTTTGTTTAAAAAAAATCGACTTTTTGTGAGAGGTACAGTGATACTGCAGTTATTTTTACCCAACCACTAGGAGGCCCGAGTCGTCCATGACCTTTTTTTTATAAGTCGTCTATTACTCGTTACTAGCCGGAATGTTCATATATTTTATGTTACGTTTAAATCTATTAATTTTGTTAATTTTTTTAACCATTTTTTGATCGAGGTAATACAAAAATAAAAAAGGATAAATGCCAAATTTGGTCATTGGGATTACTAAATCGTGTTATGTTTAGTTATTAGAAAAAATTAATATAAATTTTGGTCACTCGAATTACTAAAACATGTCACATTTAGTCATTTTTTCTTCCGTTAGCCTCCGTCCAACTCCAGTCACTCGAATTACTTTTTCTTTTATGAATGTCACTCGAATTACTGAAACAAGTCACATTTAGTCACTCTCCGTTAGCCTCTGTCCTACTCTGTTAACTCTGTTAATGGAGTTGGACGGAAACTAACGGGAGAGTAACTAAATGTGACATGTTTCGGTAATTTAAGTTACCAAAATTGATATTAATTTTTTCTAGTGACTAAACATGACATGATTTAGTAATCTTAGTAACCAAATTTTTTCAAGTGACTAAACATGACATAATTTAGTAATCTCACCTACTCTTTGCGTTTTTTCACTTCTTCTTCTACTAAGTATCCTTATGCTCATCTTGTGCATTATTAATTGATTGTTGGATTCCAAAATTGGGGAACTGTATCATATCCAAACTATTATGCGCTTCCTATATTTGTATTGAATTAGTTCACAAAGTAGAGATTCAATTTTTTTGTATGCATTAGATTTGTTTTTAATGAAAATTTTGAATTTTACAGGAAATATAATTAGATAAATGTAACAAGGTAAATTGTGTTGTATATCCATAAATCTAATTCAACAAAATCCATAATTATACCCAACAAGCAAATATAGACTTGTTCAAATCCATAATATCACCAAATCCATCATAAATCCATCATAAATTTATGGTTTTCCAAAACCCTCATTTTTCAGCAAACGACTTGAAAGTAGGTAAGCAACTTTTGGGTTTTTATCGTTACAATATTCCAGATTCTGTGCACAACAAGGACATACACAACATCAACTGATTCATGATCCAGCTTTCTTTTGGTTTCTTTCTCTTTTCACTGGCCCCCTACCATGATGGACACGTCATCTCCTGTTCAATGTGAGGAACTCGAAGCTCTTTAGACTTTCCTCACGGGAACTTTTACCAGCAGCAGCAGCTCGTGCACCTGAAGATTTGACGACAGGTTCATACCCGGGTAAGATTCTTTGTGTGGAAGAAGTCGTGTGGGCACCAGCAGCACCAGCAGTGTGGTGTGTTCTCGCTGCTGCACGCGCTTCACCATGTTCACCAGAGGAACCTGGCCTCCCATTGGGGAGTATGGCCCTTCTTGAGTTGCTGCCATGCCTCGATGTGCTGCGCCCCTTCTCTGCCTCTGGCTGCTGCATATCCAAAAACCCAAAAGGACATACTCAAGATCATATCTTTCTTTCACACTAGCAAGAACTAGCATGGAGTAACTTACTGTTTCGTTTGTCCTAGTTCTGGAATTGTCAAGCGGACTAGATCCAGTGATTTTTCTTGTGGAGAAAGCCTCAACAGCACCTGAGAATCTCTCGCGAATTTCTTTTCCAACTGAAAGTAAAATGGTAGTGCACAGCAACAATTAATTGTGAAACTTGAGGCAAAATGGCGGGGAATGATATGAAAACATACCTGAGACTCTCTCTGGCGGCGGTCTTTCTGCAGAAGGTCCTGCAAGAGCATGACCCGGTTTCCCAGCCACCTACAAAGAAGAGAAAAATGATAAAATAAAATCGACCTTGTTCTAGAAGAGGATTTATAGCAATAAGCCTACAAGCCCATTCAGCCTTACTCGTGCTCTAGAGCTGGAAGTACCAGCTTGAGGATACTTCAACACCGTCCAATCAAAGACATAGTCAAATTGATAACCTGTATTAATACATTTTTCAAGGAAACTGGATGCATGAATACCTTGATGATAGGAGAGGAAACAATAAGCAAACTAAACAAAGACAATCACTCTTGCAGCTCTTACCTTCCCGAATAAATAAGTCGCGGAAAAGCCTCTTCAAGTATGAGTAATCTGGCTTGTCTTCAAAACGTAATGCCCGGCAGAAATGGAAATATGATACGAACTCGGATGGATAAGATTTACAAAGAGACTGTTCAAACAAAAATTTGTATTTATAAAGTCAGAAAAAAAAATTTGGCGAAGAAAGTAATGAAAAGGAAAACATAATTATTCGGCACAGATGTGATCTAACTGTCTCAGGGACAATGAAGCGCGAAAAAATCATTATAAAGTGAAATATTGCAAAGTATAGCATGATGCAGAAATGTAAAAGGGTATCTTATAAATGATCTATGATATCTACTGTGCTAAGACGAAGTGCTAAAGACCATTATCAAGCGGCACCTGAAATGTGTAATATAATCTTAACAGATTGTTCTTGAATCTTGCCTTGCAGCCATGTTATACTGTCCCGAGACAATCCTAAAACTCTAGCATGTAAGTGCAAAGTTAACTTTGTTATCATAACTACATCAATATCATGGCATCACAACATTCACTATATCTCTTGGATCACCCATCAGGAGAAGCAAACAGCAGATAAAGTTAAAAATTGCTTCGAAGGAAATAAATGCTACCTCTATGGAAGTAGAAACTTTCTTTTCACTGATCTTGTCATATTTCTGTTTTTTTGTGCCAGCCTTTAATCCTTGCCAAGGGAGGCTGAATAGAAGAATGCATGAAATGAGTAATGTGGACGAAGTAGCATAAGGGCCAAGTAAAACATTAAGGGGATGGGAAACATATTAGAATGACTGCACAGCTAGTCAACCTTCCTCGGATGAAATACATCAGCACATAACCAAGAGACTCCAAATCATCCCTTCTGCTTTGCTCTGTCCGAGGAACAGGAGAAAAGTAACTCAGAGTTGAATAAAATAAAAAAGGTAACAAGAACTAAAAAAGATAGGATTCTACTAACCAATTCCAAGGTGGGTGTTGACACTTGCATAGCGAGCAGTGCCTGTGAGGTTCTTATTCTCTCTGCAACCACAGATAGTTTTGAGATGTCGCATCACGAATCGGTTGTACTGCTTCGACATGTCAATCATAGATAACTAGAAGCATCTCATGTTACTGGGATTCCAACAAATATAGAGATTCAAATAAACCATAATCTGCTTGTACCCGGAACAATCTCTATCTGGCATTAGAATGTAAACAAGTTTAGTCTGCTCATTTAACCCTTAACAGCAACCCCAACCCACAAAAAAAGGGTTAGTATGCACTATGCTCGTTCTTAGTGACATATCCATCTGAAATTAGTAGATCACATAGAGAAAACCGAATGGTCTGCATAAAGGAAAAGGTCACTTATTTATGTTCCCGTGAACAACGCAAAGTTGATTTCACTTTTCAATTGATTGTATAGCAAGACTAGTCCTTGTAAACATTCTCAAGATAGAATCTGCGCTGCATTGCCATCAACATTGAAAAATATCTTAATCCAGAGCCTCAAACCCTAACCTCGGAAGATGGGCAATTAACAATCTTGAAGTTCAAAATGCTTTTCTGAATACAACAAAAATCTGCAGCCTTCAGTACTCATTGCAGTTTCTCCTGTATGGTGACTTTTGACAAGCTGCTTATATATCTAATCATGCCTTGCATCAGTTCTACAGTCATGTAAATTAGCAACTGGCCTAGAACTAGACCCTTTAGATCAACAATCAGGCAACTAACGTTCGCTGCGATGACATTTTCGTTTCAGGAGGCAATAAACTAGCTAAGGCTTCAAAACTAGGCTCTTTTCAAACTGATAACGCTATAATTATCATTTAATTTGTTCTCTTGCAACCTTGACGACTCAGCCTAAGACACACCTGCTACTCAGATAAAAATTCTAAATTTGTGCATCACATATTCCAATATGATCATTCGCATAAACATGTAAATTCATTAAAAATGCCAGTTAATGATAAAATTTTTATGTTACCTGTATGGAATGTGCTTATGAGTCTGAAGATCCCTGTATTTCTTTGCAAGGCCATAATCAATAACATAAACCTGTATATAACCAGAAACCAGACAAAGGAAAGCGTGAAGCAAAGCAATGTTAACAATCGTGGGAAGACCTTATGCTAACAATAACACGTAAGCCTCCCAAAAAAGACACAGGACAAAGTCGGTATAAATTTGAAAGACTTCAGTGAAAGAAATCTATGATATAAAGAGGCTTGAAGTTCAGTGAACTGAAGTCTAAGAAGGATCAAGATCAGAATGCTGACCAACTTTCCTACCTACATAATATACATCTTGCTATGCAGGAAAATCTTACGCGTATATTTTAATGTTTATGGTAGATACAGTAACATACATATAACCTACTCTCTATTCTGACAGTTCACTTTTTCATTTTAAGTCTGTCATTTCGGTTGGATATTGTAGGACAAGACTGGGTCCAGAATCAAGAATAAATTGATGAATTCAACAGTCCAAAAAGGATTAAGAAAACCTTCTCACCACCAAAAAAAGTTGACAATACTAACAGTTCCAGAACTAGCTGTGCAAATAACATCAGGGAATACCTCTTGTGCAAGACAGTGAAAAAAGTAACGATAGAAAGCAACTACCTGATTGGCTTTGCGACCTAGGCCCATCAAAAAGTTGTCAGGCTTTATGTCACGGTGAAGAAACCCTCTTGAATGCATATATTCAACTCTGTTAATCTAAGGGGATACAGTGTAAAGTAAATTATTCTCATGCAACATAACATGCACACTGCTTGTACAAGAGTTCAACTCTACTTACCAGTTGATCAGCTAGCATTAGCACTGTTTTCAATGTGAATTTCCTGTTACAATAGTTGAATAGGTCTTCCAAACTCGGACCAAGAAGATCAATAACCATGACATTGTAGTCTGCCTCAACTCCAAACCACTTCAGATGGGGAATTCCAGCTTCATTAAAGAAAGACAAGATCAAAGTACTTGTAAGAACCATATAGCAACATTTGTAAGTCCTCACAGATACTTTACTCGAAAGCCTCACCAACATGGAGTAACAGAGTTACAACTAACAAAATAAATTGTGTTTATGAGACTGAGTCCAGAACCTTTAAGGTTCAAAGCAGGATTATCCTATGGATAAGTCCTTGTAATTTTTCTTTGAAGAAGAGAAACTTACTGCCTCCTTGAAGAAGCATGTATAATTTTGACTCATACTGAAGCTGAGGGTGCTTGGTCTTCACAGATTCCTGAAAATAAAAGAAAAAGGATAAAATCAGAATAAAAGGATACTGTTGCTTCAGCTGAAAAGAATAAGAAGTGAAATCTCTATCATTGCAAATCTGATGCCAAAACCAATATCTGTCCAAGAGGAAACCTCAGGCAAACAGTGCCACACATAAACTCCTCATCAAGAATTGCAGAAGTTGAAGATAGCAGTCCCTTCTTGGATAATGGTTCACAGATATCACATGGATAGATCATAAAGGTATAAATGATCTCATACTTTTTTCCATCAAGATGTGACATAGTGCATTGGCTAAACTAACTTGAAATGCTGAATAGGAACCGACTCGCGAAATCTATTTGTTTCAGCTGTAAACCCTCATCATCAAATAATACATTAATCAGCCTTGGAAAGAGTAAGTAAAAGCAGAGGACCATTACAGCCAACTGGTAGCAAATATCGTTGTTTCGGTAACATATAGACCCTGCAACATTATCTTAAATAGTACAACCATGCAAATCGAAACCCTAAGCAACAAAGTATTGATGAATCTGTTGTGGAGACTTGAATAACGATCTTTCAATGATCTATATAAGCACAAACATACACTCTACTTTGCAAAGCAACTTACCAGCTTAACAGCAACTTCTTCTCCAGTTTGCACATTAACACCTACAATACCAATCCGCCATCAGCAGACAATCTAATTGCAGTTAGTCTAATCCACTCTTGTTCACAACATTATAATTGAGGCACACTATCACACAAAACAGAAGTCAACCATACCTAGATAGAGCTCTCCGAAAGATCCACTTCCAATCTTCCTTCCCAGTTTAAATTTGCCACCAACAACCTGGTCAACCTTTAACTTATCCATTGGTGTACACCAAAACTCGGAAGCACAATCTTACAACAGTAACCAACGATTGATGTTCAAACAGTTCCTTCCCTTCGCCTGAACCCAAATAGTATCTCCCACAAATGGCCAGCAAATTCACGAAACCTATTGTTGATAATTAGAGCACCAAAGAGCTCCTGCGTTCGACAACCTAATCACCTGATCCGCGTTCAATTGAAGGTAAACGGAAGAAGAGAACCCAATAAAAGAGAAAGCTCCAAACCCAGATGAGAAGAAGCTACAAAAGATCAAAAACTAGGATGTATAATCAAAAGCAACGATTTTCAGTCACATGCTTGGAAGTTGGAGAGGACAAGGAGGGGACACAGGATCGAATCACAGATTTAGAGATCCAAACCCTAAGAAAAAATTACGGGAGAGGACCTACATTGACCAGAAAGCGAAACGGACAGAGAGACAGAGAGATGGGCGAGCTCGAATTGGGAAAAAGGAAGGATCGATCGAGGAAGGAAGGAAGGAAAAATAAACTGAAACAATAATACGGCAAAAGAGATCAAAGGAGCTTTGCTTTGGGATTGACAACAAAAGCCCGAGGCGAGGAAGCAAACAAAAGAAAGGTTCAGCCAGAAACCACGAATATGTGTTTTGTTTGTGTTGTTATGGAGGTTGGAGAGGAATAGAAAATGAAAAATTAAGAAAACGAGAAAGAGGAGAAGAAGAGCGAGACGAGGAAGACGAAAAAGAAAATAGATCGACTTAACCAGTTTATCGAACAGATAAAAAATAATAATAATAATAATAATAATAATGTTTTCAAAAATATTTATTAAAACAATTGGAAAAAGGGAATATCCTGAATTTTGTTTTTAACAATTTAGGGGTGCGCATTGCTTCGGTTTGAGCATACCGGTATCCTTATTATTCCCAAAAACCAAACTGATTTTGAAACGAGTTATATTTCGGTTTGATCTGGTTGAACTGAAATATAATCGATTTGGAGTCGAAAAACCTGATAACCTCTGTTTTCAGAACTGGACCGGAGATTGAACCGAAAAAGTTAGTGGTTTAAGGTTCAATGGTTAACCGTTACAAAACCATTGGTAAAACCGTTCATAATATATAACATACAAGACTTGTATATTACACTAATTTAAGAATGAACTTAGACCATAAACAATTTCAAATTCATATCATCACCAAAATATCTAGTAAATTACTCAACCCGTCATACAAAAGATATCATAATTTTTTTAATTAGAGTTAATAATTATGGTGCCAGTTGGTAGTGGACCACATAAAAAATAAAAATGACAACAAGGTTGGAAAATTAGAAGAGGAACCATATATAAAATTAATAATCATGACTTGATAGTCTTAGTTTATGTGGAAAAAAAGTATTTTTATGGTTAAAATAGTGAACCAGTGGACCATTTAAATTGTGATGTTCATCTTATTTTAAATTATGGCCGTTGTGGAGAAAGTTTTTGCCTACCTAGGAAGAAAGCTCCACATTTTCCCATGCCATTTATGATTTTAACATTTTAAGTTATTAATTACATTAAAATAAAACTAAATAAACATGTATACCAATCATCATGACATAGATTTGAACCTATGACCTATGAGTTCAAGCTATTATCGTTTCAAGTGTTCAACCACTAGGATAAATAAAATATATTTGATTTTATTAATTACAACGAAACATGTATATCAATCACCAGAATTAGAGGTGGCAATTCTCAATCCAATCCATCCACTTAAATATCCAACTAATCCAATCCATTTAAATTCAATCCATTTGATCCAAATCCAATTGGATTGGTGAATTCATGGATTGATCCATGGATGATGGATCCAAATTATATTTTAGCATATAATCTTTTTATATTTTACATTGGGTACCTAAAATTTATTTTTATACGAAAAATGTCATTGGAAAATTACGTTTTGGTATCTAAAATTTTTAATTATGACATTCTAGTACCTAATTTTTTTAAAAATTACATTTTGGTCCAAGGCTTGGATGTTATTTGGACCCATGGATCAATCCACTAATCTATATGCTCCAATCTATGAATCCACTAATCTATTTAGTCCAATCCACTTGATCTATGGATCCATCAATCACAATCCACCAATCCATTTGCCACCTCTAACCAAAACTAATATTTAATCATGCAAACTAAGAGATCAAACTGTAATCATTTGAATTGTTAACAAATATAATAAAATCTCTTTTATGCAAGTAATCACAAGATTAATACTCATGTTATAAAAATATGTACAACACATAACATTCTATTTTTATTTAATGGTTGATGTTTGTGCATTACACAACAAAAACTATCACAGTTAAAATTATGTATTCTATTTTTCAGCAATGATAGAAACCATTTTCAACTACAAATAACCAATTTTAATTTTTAGTTTATAATATATTTGATAATTTTTTAAAAATAATTAAAGAATCCAAAAAACATGATTTAGTTGGTTCACATTTATAAACTCTTACATAATTTTACATGTGATTTTATTTTAAAATTAAAAGATGAAATGCAAAGAATAACCTTCTTTCGTATTCTAAAATACAAGAATTTAATATTTTGTTTGTACGTAAATATGTGAACCAATACAGTTATGTTACAATTTGTTAGAAAATAACTACTATAAATATTTGAACTAATACACTCTTATCATGATGAACAAAAAAATAATAATTTTTTTGCTTACTAGATTATTCGTAAAAATGATGGTTTGTTAAGTAAAAACCATAGTCATAATAACTTATTCATGTAAGATGTTCCTATACTTTATGATTAATGAAATATATCAACATAATTCATTCATATGCTACAGTGATACACAACAATTTAATGTGTTTAAGAATATCACGAGAAAGGGATGGGATTAGGTTCTAACCCCTTAAGGGGTTAGTACCATGCTAATTAAGTTTCCCACCGTTAGATATAATATTAATGCAAGGGTTACAATTTTGTCAAGGTCAATTATGTCAATATTTATTTCACACCCCACAAACCCTAATATATATTTGTTGTTTTCGCCGCCTACTTCTGAAACCGTTCCTCTCGATCCACTCACCTTTCAAAAACCCTCCCAACTTCCCAACTAGATTCTCTCTTTCTCCTCCGGCGCCGGCATGGTCACAGGTCATCGATGGCGATGGAGGAGGCAGGCGCCAAGGGCGTCGATGACGATTGAGGAGGCAGGCAGCGAGGGCGTAGATGGCGATGGAGTCGGCATAGGAAGGGTCGGATCTGGAGACTCACTTTTTTCTCCAGTGGCGACATGGTCTCGTCGCGTCGACGACGACAGAGGAGGCGAGTCGCGGCGACAACGACAACTTGTGATATGAGGGTGGCTGTCGGGTTCACCGTATTGGAAGTCGGGCACCGTCTCACCGTTACCGCCAATGACGATCTGGAGAGTTTACGAGCAGCTCTAGGTCTAGATCTATTCACCGATAACATAGATCTGTCGTTTCCTCCAGCGGCGGTGAGGGAAAATAGTGGTGGAAGCCAGATCTCTTGTACTCCACAACATCATCGGAGTAGGACTAACGGCAGGATATATGGATTATGGAGGGTCTGTAGTCTTTTTGATTGCATGAGGAGTGTATTGATTTGATCGGTAGTAATTTTGTAGTAGTGTTTCATATTTTGTAATACTGATTATATGTATTAGTTGTGGTTCTCATTGTAATAAGCATTTAATTTTTTGTTAGCCAGTAATAGCGTTTTGGGGTGTTATAGTAGTTTTTTCTTCGGTAATATTTTCATTGTTTTTAGTAGTGTTTCTTACTAAAAAAAAGTGCAAATCACTACTAATTTATAGTAGCTAAATTATTATTAATGACCATAAAATCACTACCAATGATCATGAAATTACTACAATAAACCACCAAATCACTACTAATTTTAATAGTAATTGTTGTACATAATTTGGAGTAGTATTTTTATTTTTAACGGAGAGAGAAGGTAGAAATTTTATTTATTTAATAATATTCATTTTTTAAAATACCAATAAAGCTCCTCATAACTTTTCACGGTGAAATTCATTTTAAAAAAATAGATGGTGATTAAAACATTTAGAATGGTGCTAACTATTATGAAGTTAGCATCGTAGCTTCTCCCGAGTAATGGTCACCATTTTTTTTGTATCTACCGAATTATGGTTATATGGCTTAAATATGTCTGTGCCCAATTGGTATATTTCACGCATATTAAAATGATATCATTATCTTTTCTTTTATACTATTCCAATTCCTTCTATTTTTCTTTCTATTTTTATTTTTATATGTGATTAGATTTTCTTCCATGCGCAATTATAAAACACATTGTTTTTACTTTTTTCCTGGTGTACTTATAATTTATTTCTTTTCTCTTTTTATTGGTTGACATAAGCTCCTTTCTTTTCCTACATGTGTGTAGATGTGCAACTTTGAAACATGTTCAGGTGCATAGATATCTAAACGAATCTTAAGCTATTGGATATATATAATGGTTGAGATGTAAATAACTATTTTAATCTTTACTTAATATGACATCCGAATACATATATTACTATTAGTGGCTTCCATTGTACCTTGGTTATAATCTAGGACTTACCCTGAGTAAGAAAATGCTATTAGATCTTGAATTAATCAGATTTTCGGGCATGATACTATACTCTAATCATTTATGAGTGAACCCTAGGTCTTAGATACCTAAATTATAGAGCCTAACCCCTAAGATTGTGCACGTAATTTTTGCATATATTTCGAGTAATCAAGACCGTCAAATTTTGTTTGTAATTAAATTGATCATAGTGTATGAGATTTTTATAGAATCAAGACCTAGATTTTAATTTTTAACAGTTTGGGAATAGTACCTGATGCCAAACTCCGGTCAATTCAAGGTCTATATATCATTTTCTTACTTCTCAAGGTATGTCATACCTTTGATTTTATCCAAGGTATGATAGAACCACCCATTGCTATTACTAGTTTTAGTAACCAGTTATACTAGCCGGATAACTCCACTCATAAAATACACCCGATATGCTATATCTCATTCAGTCAAATAAACATTCATTCATCACCACATGCCATAATCATGCATCATCTCAAACTCAAGGAATTCATATATTCACAACATAAGGATCATCAAACAGTCTTTTGATAACTCATTGTATAAATATGTATTCACTAAGTATCACGTCATATTGACATCACCATGTAACCTTGTCCCAACATAACGAAATATCACACCATCTAATGGTAAATCATTGTATAAAACACCATAGTAAACCATCGTCTAAATATCATCATGACATGCAAATTTCGTATATCACATCATAGGAAGTTATCACTTAACCACATCATAAGTAAGCTTTATACAATGATTCAATCACAAGCATGGTTAGGTTGATTCAGTGTCCCTTTACTTCTTAATTTGCCAAGTCATACACTTCCCGGGTAGTACACTAGATGTCATGTATACCACCACGGATCGTACCTATATTGGTGTCTTGTAAATCCAGTGTGAGATCATAGTTTGGTTGTACTTTAATATAATGATGGAAAAGGCTAGCGAACACTCGAGGTGTAATATACACCTTCATTCTCATCAATTTGTTGTACTTTCATATATTTTGTCAAATAAGAATCGTTGGTTATTATTTTTGCATTAAATGAA